TTTTTATATGGAAGAGGGCATTTATAGCTAGGTAGTATGGACTACTTAATGGTAAACTACGTTATATAATAAATTTATAATAAAAACTATTTATTTTTATAGCTTAAAGTAATTTCTTATATAATATATTTATAATATTATGCTTAGCTTTATTATATTAAATAATGTTATTTAAGGCGCTTTATAAATAAAAGCTTAATATTAAATATTTTTAATTATATTTTTACTTTATATATCTTTATATTTTTATTAAGGCTTATAAGCTAAAAATAAAATTATTAAATAAAGCTAAAAAAACATATTTTATAAAATTTAAGGTTAAAAATAAGATTATTTTTATTTATATATATTATTTTAAAAGGTTATTATAATTATAATATTAAATTATATTATTTAATTTAATTTAATATTAAAGATTATATAAATAATTAATTAATTAAATAAAAATATATTATTTAAAATAAAGATATTATTAATATTTTAATTAATAAAATTTATTAATAATATAAAACTTATAAATAAAATACTTAAATTTATAAGATTTATTAATAAATTACTTAAATTTATAAAACTTATATAATTATATACTTTTTAAGGATAATAAATTTAGCTTTTATAAAAAGTAAAATAAAATATAAATATTATTATAAATTATTTTAAAGATTTTAATAACTTAATATTAATTAATATAAACTTTATATTAAATTTTACTTAATTAATATTAATTAATATTAATTAATATTAATTACTTTAATTAACTTTTTATTTAAGCATTGCTTATTAATATAATAAATATTAATAATATTCTTAATATATATATATAAGTTATAAAAAGTAATAAAAAAAAGCTTAATAATAAATTATTAAAAGAAACTTAAATTACTTTTAAATATAAATATATAAATTAAAGTATTTATTATTATAAATTAATATATTATTAATCCTTATTAAATATATATAAAGAAGTTTAATATTTTTAATAAACTTATTTATTATAAAGCTTAATTTATTATTTATAAATATATATATAATTTATAATATAAATTATAATAATATTTATAGCTTAATAATATATATAATAAATTTAAAATTAATTATTATTATTATTATTATTATAAGTTAATAGCTTTAATAATTTAATATTGAAATAATATATTTATATAATTATTTAAAATATAATATTTATATATATTTATTATAAAAGTATTAAATATTATTTAAAAATTAATAAATTATTTTAAAACTTTTTAATACCTTATATAAACTTAAGTAATTAAGCTATAAATAATTTAATATTTTTAAAGAAAAATTAATTAAATATTTAATAAAAATAATATTTAATTCTTATATTTTTATTAAAGATTAAATTATTATTATTATTTATATTTTTAATATTTTTATTATTAAGAGTTCTTTTTAAGTTAATAAATTTTATATTAAGTTTATATAATATTTTAAGTATAAAAGTTTTAATTTTTATAAATACTTACTTAAATTAAAAATTATATAAATTAATAATAATATTTACATTTCTTAAAAGAAATATACTTAATGAATTTTAAAATGATTTAATATAATTCATTATAATTAAAAATAAACTCTTACAAATTTAATAATATTATAATAAATATAATAATATATTAATTACTTATTAAATTTATTAATTTTCTTATTATTAAAATAAAACTTAATTTTATATTTTTATATATAATGTTATTAATATTTAATGTAAAGCTTATAATTTATTATTTAAATGTTAAAAAAGGGGTATTTTAATATATTTAATATATATTAAATTATGCTTTAAAGTTTTTAAAATAATTATTATTATATAAATTTATTATATTTAATATATATATTAATGCTTTTTATAATATTAATTTAAATAATTTAAAAATATTTAATAAATATATATAACTTCTTAATAATAGCTTAATTACTTAATTATTAAAGTATTAATTTATTATTATAAAATTTATTTATAAAATAAAATATATAATATATTCTTTAATATTATTATATTTTTATTAAATAATTTAAATATTAAAGGATTTAAATATTAAATATATTAAATATTTACTTATTTTATATATTAATAATTAATTAATATTAAACCTTATTTAAAATTATAAAGTTAATGCTTAATTAAAATATATTGCTATTTTTATTATTACTTTATTTATAAAGAAATTAAAGAAATATATAATGTTTATTATATTGCATTTAAAAATAATTTTATTAATATTTATATAAAAGTATTACCTTACTTTATTCTTAAAACGGCTTATATAAAATTAAAATTAAAATAAGTATAAGGTTTATATTATTAAATAAGCGTTTAAATAATTAATTAAAAATAATGTAAGCAAAATATATAAATATTAAATAATGTTTATATAATAGTTTTAATATAAATTATAGCGGAATATTTAAATTATATTTTAATTATTATATATTATATTTCTTATTATTACTAAATAATAATATTTATAATGGGGGGTGTGTTGGAAGGTGCAAGGGTTATATGCCTATATATTAACATTAGCCTATAAATAGGCTCCTTTTAAGCGTTTAATAGCGGGGAGAATTCTCTCCTTAACAAAATAACAATCAACTATCATTTGCTTAATTGCTTCATCACCCAGGACAGAGGAACATCGTTTAAGCGAGCGATAGAGCTTACCCTCCAGGGCAGTCCCAAAGCTTTCTCTCAACCCAAGGCTGTCGTGTAATTAGAGTTCGCCAACGGCGTCCAAGCGCAATGCCAATAACTTCCGGATGACGTTCGTATAAGGCATCTTCGTACGACCCTGGATACACACATTCACAGGGTCCAATATAAGGGTCGTCTATTGAGTGGGGTTGCTATACGTCGGATCTTTGACAAGCGGAAGCTAGAGCACACACTTATGCGTTCCAGAACCTTGTGAAGGGGCCCGAGAACCCCAGGTCAGTGTTTCATGACAGGTCGCAACCCAAACTACTCTACTACTCTACTATTCGTGTTCAACTCTGCGCTGACATGGATGCCTGCTTGGGCTTGGTTCGTTCCTTGACGATCCCATCGTGACCTTGTTATCTGCCAGAATCTATTGAAAATCGCAAGAACTGCATCTAATCTCGATCTTGATATAGCAAGTGGGCTTATTATGAGATCAGCTGCACCTTGGCATCTCAGGTAGTCGGACGGATTGTTTCCGTCCATGTATGTGTGCCTTCTGCCGTCTTCTATTACACTCACAGTGGAATTATAGGCTTGGCCCGTCGGAGATATAGGTATCGGGACCATCCGTTCAGCACTGACAGATCCCCGATGTGCCGCACTTGTCGCTCTTAATGCACGTTTCGATCTCGCGTCACACTACGTGTAAGGCTGTCTCGGCTGCCAGGTTTGCTAAAATCTTATTCCCGCTTCAAGTATCTATGGCCTCATACCAATACTAGTAGACATTATCACTCTCTGCAGAAAATTGAATCTAAGAGCTAGCTATTACGAGGCTGGTTTAGACTTGACTAAGTGCCAGAGAACTTTGTCCTCCACTAGGTTCCACGCGATGAGAACAACCAAGTGATCAGAGAATGAGTTTCCGCAGTAGTTCCGGTCGCTCTTCGATGGTGCTGCCACTTACGATGTCAGTCTATTCCTCCGTTTAGGCGCTGGCGACATCTCTAAGTAGGACGCTTTTTTCTTGCGCCCTGAATCTACGGGTCGGGCTGCAACTCTGGTAACGTTTGTCGCCTGTCCCTAACAACAGTGAACAAGCAGCGAGTCGTGAAAAAGCAGCTCGTTCTTGTCCACTGTCGAGGACAACAAATTATCTCCACGACAATGCTCAAACAATGCCCAAATTTCTAGCCGTAATTCGTGACCAAACCAACTAAAACGGACTCCTGCTTCAAGCTTAGAGCAATTGACTTTGTAGTAAGTGCTCTGCACACCCAACAGATAGAAATTCAATGAGAATTGCATGATCGATCAAGGACAGAAACGCAGGGTTAGGGTTGAGGACACGTGAAAACTGCCGGCTTCTCTGGACCCCATACACACATCCTCAGATCCACACACGCGCGCGCCGTCCTCGTATCGGAATCGCGCGGACACATTTTCGGGATTTGTTACTCTGGCCTTCATGCTGATTTTGCGTGTCTTTTAGCATTGCCCGCTCGATTTCGAGGCAGAGTGATGCAATTCTGTAGTCACACAACAACACGACTGCAAGAGCTGCAGCGTGGCGGTGACAAGTGCATGGCCGATGCTACTCTGGAATGCAGGTTGGTTCCAAGCCCCATCTGCGGCCTCTGCGAGACCGCGGCGTAGCACTGGATCTAACGTTAACTGGGTAGTACCACGAGTGGCTCGTGGCCCCCACGCCCGGCCAACACACAGTTCCCCAGGCCTGAGAGGGCCAGACTTTCAGCCGTGGCGTCGCCAAGTCGAGCCCATGCCAGTGCATGTGCTTGAACAACTATCCTTCTGCCTGCAAGCACATGGCTTGGCCTTGCTCCCCCGAAACGGGCGCTTGTCCCCGTCGTTCGGCACAGCTCCTCTTCGAAACTATCCTTATTTCGTTCCTCCTCGCTTGTAGACGGCGAGGCGATGTGCTGACCCATATTCATCAGCTGGCTCATGATAATTGGGTTTAGTGCTAGGCTTCCGCGGAATGCCCTCCGCAAACCTCACCACTGTGCCCCTGGGATCTGCGGTGCTACCGACCGATGAGGCTCAGCTGAAAAATCCCCCTGTCCAAGCCTCACACCTCGAGGTGTTAGCGCTTACTTGACGTGCATCCAGCAGTCATGACCAATTTGTTTTGTGACGTCGGCTTCGTGACACAAAAACAACCTGCCTTCTTCCCTCTCCTCCTGCCTCTCAGTTGCATCCATTTGTGCATGTTTCGCCCAACGCCCTGAGCCCCGAGATCACGTCAAAGCATCCATCGCTGCCTCCGTGGCAACAGTCAACAGTGAACAGGTCAACCCCGCTTCCGACATCTCGGGCAATGCCGAACTCGCCACGGCCACCCGCCGCCGCGGTGCCGGGCTGCGTGGAGGGCAGGCGCCGTCACCGAGGACGTTCTCATGGGACACACGTCCACTGTCCCGCTGCCGCAGCCTGCAGAACCAACCAAGGAGTCGATACAGCCGGCTCGCTCAGGACCACGCCGCCTACCCTGCAGCCCAGTATTCGACGGGCTCTGAGCAGACTTTACGACCAGTTGAAGGGCTCGGACAAGGCTCTCTCTGCGGCAGATCTTCTGTTCTTCATGGAAGAGGAGCAGAATGAAACCCTCAACCCATGTCTGAAGGAAATCCCTTCCGGGCGTACGTACTCGTTCCAAGAGTTTTGCGACTTCTGGTATGAGCACGCCAGCCACTCGAAACAACCGATTGATCTGGAGAAGGCGGACTTCGATAAACCCATATCGAACTACTTCATCAATAGCAGCCACAACACTTACATCGGTGATGGTGATCAGGTCAGCGGGGTTATCACAACAGAACAATACCGAAAGGCGAGTCGTGTCCCTCAGAAGACACTGTTTGTGAAACGGGGCTCACATATGATTGATTGACTAACACAAAGGCGTACAGGTCATCAGGCGAGGATGCAGGTGTGTAGAGATCGATGTCTGGAATTCTCCACGCTACAACGACCCTCCTCGTAGCCCCCGGCCTCGGCCAGAGCAGCGAGGTCCAGGAGGACGGCACTGGTCGCTGGATTCGCTTCTCTCGTGGATGAGAACAAAATGCGGGTACGAAGCTGTTGCTGATAAGAGGAAACCCTCGTGGAGGCGGCTAGAACGAACTTGGGCGCTTTCCAACAGAGACTGGGACGAGAAGCTCGAGCATGAGCCACGTGTCTGCCACTGCCTACCGACCATAGCAGGTGATCTCAGCGCGCGCACCGGGTTGCCTTTCAGACTCGTGTGCAGAGCCATCAGAGATGTAGCTTTCGAACAGACCGACCTGCCACTCATCATCAGCCTGGAAGACCACACCACCGGCGACCAGCACAAGGAGATGGTCAAGATCATGAGGGAAGAATGGCCAGGCCTCCTGCTAGAGGACGCCCTGCCGGGGTGTGATCCCGAGACGCAGCAACCAAGGGTCGTGGATCTCAAAAGGAAAATACTCATCAAGGGGAAGAGGAAGACGCAGAAAGGTGTTGCTAGAAAACCCGCGCTGGTGCGCAAGGCCCCGCCAACTCACAGCAGGCCTTCCGTCTCTGGGCCCTCACTGAAAGAGAAGATTGGCCAATTGAGTGCGAAGGAGTACTACCGCGCAGCACAACAGAACCCCTCGTCTCCGGAAAAGCAGCAAGTCAGGGACGAGAAAATCTATAACACAGTGGAGAAGTTGGCCATATATACATACAGCGCTGGGCCATTCAAGTCCTTCAACTCGAAAGACTCCGAGAAGCCAGCCCACATTTTCAGCTTCAGCGAGGAAAAGTTGAAGGCGCTCCACAGGACCAAACACAAGGATGTCTTCCAGCACAACAAGAAGTACCTGGCAAGGACGTTCCCTGCGAGCCTGTCGGCGTTCCTTTCGACCAATCCCAACCTTCCAACATTGTTCTGGAGGAAAGGTGTTCAAATGGTGTCGCTGAACTGGCAGTCCTGGGACACGGCGATGCATCTCAACGACGCCATGTTCGATGATACCCATGGCTGGGTCCTCAAGCCACCGGGGTATCAGTCGGACTCGTCGGCAACCTGCCAAGCCCATGTCGCAGGGAAGAAGAAGCTCAGTCTGCGTGTCACCATCTTGGGAGGGCAGAACATCCCGATGCCGCGAGTTGTGGCCGTCGACGACTCGGCCGGGAAGTCGAGCCGGAGCATCTCATCTACGACGGTAACCGGCGACTCAGATGTGCGCGTGGTTCCAGCCACGCCTGTGGTCCATGACAGCGATTTCCATCCCAAGGTCAAGTGCTACCTGCACGTCGAGAGCCATGGGGAGAGAAATCACATCAAGAAACTCGGCGAAGATGAGATCTGCGTGGAGACGAAGCCCGCCGAAACCCAAAATCCCACTTGGCGGGAAGATGAATCGAAGTTACAGTTCCCGATAGTGAGCCACGTTGTCGAAAAGTTGAGCTTTCTAAGGTATGTCAAACTGCTGCGATACAACACCCTGGGCTAGTGTTAACACTCCTTGTAGATTCAGTGTCGAACACAACGGCCTCATCAGGGACCAGGGTACCGCATGGGCATGCATACGGCTTGATAGGCTGCAAGAAGGATACAGGCTCATCAATCTCAAGGATCCAGCCGGTGGCCTCACGGAGGGAATGCTACTCGTCAAGGTCGAGAAAACTATTCTGGAGGAGCCCCCTAGGCCGCTGTCGCTGAGGGCAAAGACATGGGAGGCTTGCAAGAAAGGGAGCGAGGAAGTGACACGTTTGGGTTCGCGATGGTCATGCTTTGGCCAAGGAACAATGTGACGAAGCTTGATGCATGCGTACCGGGGTAAATCAAGCTCAAGGCGTAACTACACAGCCTCAAATCTTGGGCGATTTCAAGCTTCTGAACTTGTTGCCTCTACCGAAGACCGACCCGGGTCACAACCATTTCCAGTCCAATGTACGAGTTTCTAGACTTCTAAATATATATTGCGTCTGGCTCCGCAGGCTATCTATCTATTTAAAATGCAGGCTCCGTGCGCTATGAACATGACATGTTGACGCACCAAGTGGACCGAACCAAATTATTATACATTGAAAGCTACGACTTCCCTTCCTGGAATCTCCAGTCATCACTTGCCGCCAGACATCGCCTCGGCCATCCTAGATGCCTCTTGAGCGAACCTGGTCTTGCTGCGGATGACATGGCCCCACTTGTAGAATCCCAGGAGACAAGGGACAAAGACAACTGACATGAAACCCGGTACTGATGAGGCCCAGTGGATACCCAATGAGTTGTACATGGTGTTGGTAAACAAGGGAAATACAGCGGCTGCCACGGACCTGCACACCGTCGATGCAGCCAATGCGCTGGCCGCGTATCCCAGATAGGTATCAACAATATAGTTTGTGAGTGACATGTACAGCAGCACCATGCCAAAGCCCGTGAAGACACCTGCGCTGACCGAGATGAGCCAGAAGGTGGAAGGGTCGTTTGTCCATGCGAACCAGAACAGGCCGATGGGCAGCGCGACGGAGCCGAGCATCGCTGGAGGGAGACGGGCCTCTGGGGGTGCTCTGCCGCCGTTCCTAGCGAGGACCTTGGCGTAACGCTGCTGGTCGAACAGGGCAGCATAGAAGAGCGAGATGACGATGCCCAAGGCGACGGCCAGGAATGGCAGAGAAGCCACGCCCTGGCGCCATCCGCGAACCTGCTGGAAGACGATCGGATAGGCCGCAAACAGAAGGAACATGGTTCCCTGGACAACGGACAAGAACACGCTGAGCAGTGCCACGATGGGCTCAAAGACCAGGAGGAGCCACGGCCTGAGAGCGCCGACCTTGAGCTGGCTCCCAAGAGTCTTCTCCTCGCCGACACCGTCGACGAGGTGTGGCTTGCCGAGAATGGCCTCCATCTTTGCAGCGCGGCGACGAAGGAGGGTGGGCGCATACGTTTCGGGGAATGTGAAAGTCATGGCGATCCACGTGGGCGCGGCGAGCCCAGCAATGAAGACGGCAAGCGAGCGCCAGCCAAAGGCAGCGTCGAGGAAGCCGCAGAAGATAGGGCCGAGCATCTGGCCCATCAGGCCGGCCAGTGTGAAGAGGGCAAGGACAAATCCACGCTCGTCGGCTCGGAACATGTCGGCAATGACCGCCGGCGCAACAGCCTGGGTGAAGGACCCTGCAATACCGCCAAGGAATCTGGCGAGGATGAGCAAAGTGGCAGAGTCGAGAAGGCCTATGACGCCTGAGAGAACAACAAAGGCAGCATATGTCCAAATGTAAAGCCCACGTCGACCGTAGACCTCGCTCATAGGGGAGAGGGCGAGCGCGCCGATCGCGAAACCCAGGACAAAGGCGGACGTGAGCAGGAGGGCGACGGTGTCATCGACGTTGAAGTCGGTCTTGATATCCCTGGTACCTGTGGAAATTGGTCAGCCACATGCCGGGATGGCGGTCATTATTGACAAGTACTGACCTTGGGAGAATCCGGACGAGGCAATCGACACAGTCCACACGGCGATGGCCAGAATCATAGCATTGAGCCACTTCTTGCCTTTGGTAAGGTTCAACGGGTTGGCGGGATCATTTTCTGTCCACGAGACCAAGTAAGGATCGTCGAGCGTCCCTTCACCGGGGAAGTCGTACATGAGCACCTCTTTTGTCACAAGCCCACTGGCAGGGTCGGCCTTGCTGAGTTGCTCCTCGGTCAGGGTCTCTCTCGGCTTCCGGTAGTCGAACTTTTCTGGGTCGATCGTTTCGCGGTACCAACTTCTCTCACTTGCACCTGATGGGCGGCTGACGAAGGAATCCCTCTTCTCCACGTCAAAGTTTCCTTCCCAAATCGGCACGGAATCCTCCTCGTAGTCCTTCAGCACGCTGTGCATCCACGTGGCCCGGTTTCCGTGTCTCGACCTCTGGTGCTGTGCTTGTCCTGTCCACCTGTCGGGCACCGGTTGGCTCTGTGGAAGCAGGCCGTCGCCGACATAGACACTCATCCGAGACGCCAATGCCTCGGCGTCGAAATTGCTGGTCCACCGCTGAGTGTTTCCGAATTGCCCAGGCCAGATCATGTTGTTCTCTTCATCGTGACTTTGGTGCTGCTGCTGGAACGGTGAAGGCCACATTGTGACTCTGTTGGCGCGCCTTTGTGGGATCCGAGAGTCCCTGCCGGCATTTCCGGCCGCGGAGGACGGATGGAGTGACATGGTGCTCCTCCTTTTGGGTTCGAAAACGTATGCTTATTCTAAGGATGACGAGTTGGTGTGTGCTGGCACGTCGAGGAAGGGGCTCTGGCTGATACCAGGCGTAAGGGGAGGCAAGCACGAGCCGAGTCTAGGTATACATGTGAGGGAAGCCTTGGTCAATAGAATGGCCAATAAATTTTGAGTATTCAAGAACGGATATGCCAGCACAGAAGACGAAATGAAAAACTTGTGACGACTCAACGTCAGATGATCAAAAGATCAGAAGGGATAAATCAAGAAGCAAGAAGCAGACGAAAGAAACAAAACTCGGGTCAGCTAGACGTGATGCAAACGGAAAGACGTCAGCTAGCTTCCATCATCATCGCTGTGCCACAGAGGCCCATGGCCCTTAAGAGGGTGCTTGGCCGCCCATTCCAGGCCCAGCCGCAGCGGGTGGGTTCCCGGCGCGCATCAAAGATATTACAGTATTGTGATGGGGACCGAATCCACATCATGACAGGAGCAGTGGAGATCTACTAGTATGCCGACAGGTTTCCAAAAAGTTTCCTAGCCACTAGAAAGAGGCGCGCCGGGCCTTGGTGCCTTCTCGGGGCCTATATTCACGGTGTGGAACCCTTGACGAGCCTGGTGCGGACCAGCATCATTGCCGCCTTCCACCTCAAAGGGGGGGGGGGCCATCCACGATGACTGTGGAGACACGAAGGGCCCCGTGTGGGCAGTGGAGATGGCCGCGGCACAATTAGTGTACTGTGATTGGCTGCGCCCCGAGGAAATATACCGTGAATACGTATGCCTCTGAGGCTGCCAGGGCCCGCTGAGGTAACATGAGGCTCGCTCGGCCCAGCAAGGTTCAGTCAACGTTCTGTCACATGCACAGCACAGATCACCGGTTGGGATTGATAAAAGGGGGGGATCAACGTCAAGGTCCGGGGATTGGACGACTGACCCGGGCCTGGGATGACTCTGGTCGGGGCTGAGAATGCCTGTCGTCCGACATTGGATTCTGGACTGGCATGGCCCAAAGGCGAACATACCGCCGGTATGGCTGGCGTCATCCGGTATGCGACAAACGGCCAAGGTGGCGGGTTCGTCTCTTATTGATGGGTTGGCACTCTAAATGTCCTCGGTGTTCTAGGGTGCTCTACCAAGCACCAAGTAGACAGCAGGCCGTGAGGCTGATAAGAGGCCTTCGCCCCTATTCCAAAAATTCTCTTGGCTCTCACTTGTCCATTGTTTGCTCGTTTGTTTCCTATTTTTGCCGGCCCCGGGACTCGGTCTCGGACAACAGCAAATTTCGAGGCGCAAGCATGGTCAGGACAGGGCAACCGGGAATGAGTTGTTCCAAGACCTGTAGACGCGCGTGCGGCAGGACGAAGACACGCCACGTTCCGAGGTCGACTCACCTCCTGCAGCACTTGCGGCCCCGCCCGTCTCCGTGAACCCCTTTCACGAAGGGAACAATGACAGTCAAGCGAACTCTTTCCTGGCCGTATCCGAGTGACGCAGCTTGCTCACACAAGCGGCAACATATTATTTGGGGGCCGTCCGTGGGATTCTGGAAGGCGCCAAGGCAATCGGTCTGTGCTGCTGGGAAATTTGGTTACTCTGGAAGGGACGAAAGAGGGCACCCGGGTGCCAACCTGCGCCAAGACGGCGATCGCCACAGGCCAAACACGAAGGCCAGAGCTCGGGCGGCTTAGTTACCGATCCTGCTCGTTATTGATTGTTTGATGCAAATGAGCCATTGAATCCCAACCTTGTCGTGTTTACTCCGAAACCTACGACTGGTTGGGAATCACGTTTGCAGCCCCCACACGACAATTACTGTGCATAGGCTCTAGTTCACCCAGGCCCGCCGCAAACCTACAAGAAGCAAGCGTACATATGTATGAAACGACAAGTCATCAATCTCACAGACAGCCGGGTCGAGGGTTTGGTGGATGAAATTCCAGAGGGGACGCCTACCTAGGTAGCTCCCTCGTCAACCACACTCGAGACTCGGAACGTGAATACCAATGATGCGCGCATTGGTCTGAGCTAACTCATCACCGTACCCCTTGACCAACTATCAGAAGATCCTGCATAAACGATTGACTGTTCGCGGCTTCATTGTCGGCGATGCGAACATGGGCCCTCTCTACACCAAAGAACATCAACAAAGAGTGCAGAGATACATCAGAGACGGCTCGTTCAAGCCCTTGACTTTCGAGACGAAAGGTATCGACAATGCTGGAGAAACTTTGGTCGGGCTTCTTGCAGGAAAGAATTTCGGCAAAGCAGTCTTGAAGTATTGATAGCAGAGATTCATAGTCCACAAGATGTGTCTACACTACGCGAAGTCCTCTTGATTTTGTGTCCATAGAATGTCATCCAATTTTTCTTTGCATCACTTCAACAATGCCTTGGTAAGCCCATCCTGACACAGTCGGCTTTCTGCTTTGGTAAACATTCCTGACCGAGTGAAAGGAAACAGAGGGGAGCATTTCAAAAATTCAGTCATCATTGTTACTTGTTAAATCATCAAGAAAAATGCGTTAACACTGCGACGAGGCAGATACAAGCAATTTATTCAGAGAGTTAGACAGGTCTTTTTTTCTCACACCTTGCCACATCAAACGAAGTTGACCGAGAGATTTAATCGCCATCTTGTTCTGATGCCGCAAATCTCTCAGCCACACGGTCTGTAGCAGAACTCAAGTAATCATTGCAAGAAGCGAGAATAGTTATGCCTTTCGTACCTTACGAAAGTGTTAGCTTATATTCTTGAAAGCATAGTGTATTCATTCTCGTATCCTGCGGCGTCTAAAATATTAATTGGATTTTACAATGGCGTGGATGATCCAGTATCATTTCTTCTCTCTGTTCCCAGTAGTTAAGCCAAGAAAAATATTCTCCTAAATCGGCATGATCGAAAACTTCAAGAGGATCGATTGTGACGGTTTTTCCAAGTGCCATGATGCGAAATGTGCATGATAAGCCCCGAGATGGCACAGTCGTGAGGCGATGCATTCGCAGCACCTCCGGAGCTCGATGGTTGTGACAAGCAAATGTTGTAGACGTATAATCATCCCTTGGGTTACAACTGACACTTGAATGTATGCAGTTGAGAATAATCAATGTCAGCAGGTGTGGTGCAGGCAGGGGCGTTTGGCCCCTAAGGGCCCTAGATAGGCAATTTTTAGCTCCGAAGGTAAACTTAAACCTATTTAAGCAATACATACCCTAAATCCCTTAAATTGCTTATATTATTTATAATGCAATATATCTTCTTATATAAGTTAAAAAGTTTTATAAAGGTTTTGCTAAAACTTATATTAAAAAAGCTTATCCTTTAGTTTAAATCCCAGAATTAAAGCTAAATATAAGCTAAATAACTTATATAGCGAAAATAAACCAACTAAGCCTTTAAGTTTAAATAAAGCTAAAGCTTATATTATTAAAATAACGCTATATTAAGCTTATATTATTATATTAATTAAATTATTAAATTTCTTAAATTTACCTACCTTACTTTCTTTATTTTTATATATTTTTAAGTTAAGGTAATAGAATTTCGCTTAGCTAAGTATATACTCTTTCCTTAAATAATAAATCTAAATTTTAAAATTGCAATTTAAGAGGTAAATTAATAAACTAATTATGCTTATTATATACCTTAATTTATAATTTCTTTAAAAATCCTATTACTTTATTAACATTAAAAGTAAAGCAGCTTATATTAATAAAGAAATATAAAGCATATTAAGAAGCCCTATTAAGATTTAAGATATTATTAAATGAATAAATAAAAATTAATAATTTAAACTTTAAATTATTATTATTAAACCTAAATTTAAAACCTAAAAACCCTATTTTAAAGCTTACTTTTTTATTATTATGAAAAAAACTTTAAAATTACCTAAACTTAAATAATTCCTTTCTTAATTATTTAATATTAAATTATAATAGCTTATTTAAATTTAAAACCCTTTTATTATATTTAATAAAACCCTTAAACTATTTTATTATATTTTCTTTTTTTATTAATATCTTTTTAAAACTTTTAAAAAAAAGCTTAAAAGAATATATTAATAATATAAAGTTATATAACATAAGGATAGCATTTAATAATAAAACTTTTAAGGTTTAAAAAATAAGGATAGCTTTTTATTTTAAGTTAAAAGGTATAGCTAAGATTAATTAATATTTAAAACTTGCTTTAAATAAGCAAGCTTAGCTTAAAGTTTCCACTTTTTTTAAGAATTACTTTTAAATAAAAATTATTAACTTAAATTATAAAGTTAAGACTTAAGTATATATCTTTGCTTATAAGTTTATGAAATTAATTTTAAAATATATATATTAAGCTATTAAGCTATTTTATTAATATAAAGAAGAATAATTTTAAGAGTTAATTTATTAGCTATTTTCTTATCTTTTTAATTAAAAAGGTAGTAAACTTTATAATAAGGGCTAAAGGATTTAAAAGTTAATTATAACTTAATTATATATAAATAAAAAGATAAAAAGTAATAATATTTTAATTAAAAAGTATATATTTAATAAGGTTTATTAATATATTATTAATTATTACCTCTTACTTAATGCTAAGATAAACTTCTTTTTAAAAAATAAAGTAATAAGTAAGGCTCTTATAAATTAAAATTAAGTTATAAGCTAAATAATAAATATTATAAAAATAATATATAATTAAATTATAAAAATATAATTAGCATTAAGCTTATTAATTTATTTTATTATAAATTAAAAATTTAATTATAATACTTAATAAAATATAAAATAATAATTATAAATTAAAGTAATAAATTAAGGATAAAACTTAATAAGTAAGCTTACTTATATCCCTTTAAGTTAAAATAATTAAGCATAGTAATTATTAATTTATAATAACTATATAAGCTAAGGCTTTATATAAAAAGAATAAAGTAGCTATAATACTTCTTACTCTTAAGTAAGAAGTTAAGGTTTTATATAAATATATTATAATTATAATAAGAAAG